ATTCTCTTCGTCTCCTCAGCATCCATCGAGACAGGAGCTATCGCTTCATATGGTCTACGCAGCCGTATTGAGGCTGTCAAGGATTGCAGAAATATAGGCAAGAGTGATATGCGCCACAACGATCTGAAGCCCAAGATGCGTGTTGATCCAGAGAGTTATACAGTCGAGGCTGATGGTGAGGTTTGTGTGGCGGCGCCTGCAGAAACTCTACCACTTACACAACAATTCTACGTGTACTAAAGTAGCAACATGGTAGCTATTGGATAGTTGCTAAACTATAGGGTTGCATATCATAGGCTGAATTCGGATACTGGCTAGCTATATATACCATCACACATTATGCTCAAGGATGATACTATGAAACATAGCCCTGTCACATGTGTTCATATAGGTGCTATTATCGCCACCCTTCACGGCACTAACTGATCCGTGTGTGACACTTTTGATTGATGATACATTAGCTATTCACCCCTCATACACGAGAGACGAAGATCACACAGGAGAGCGCTTGAGGCCCCTTTCTGGGTAAGCGGAATTTGTACGAGGGGTAAAGTTTCTTGGATTTTAGAAGTTTCCAACCCGCTAGAAAATTAAGGCTTCAGGCTGTCTTTTGGTGTATTCAAATAAATTGTATTTGATGGTATCCTGAAATTAAGAAGAAGTTATTCAAAACGATCGCGAGCTTAGAAGTGTTCCTTCCAGAATCGGAAATCCACATCAGGAACTGTGGCCGCTTTACAAGCCGTCTTGATATCACGAGCTACAGATAGAGTTAGCATTGTCTCGGGGTGAATATTGGAGGTTGCAACATACCGGCTGATGAAGGACCACAGAAGTAAACACCAACTGTCGTCCTGATATGGGACTCTAGGCCGTTCAGGTATGTTCGGTCCAAGATACCGTTTCGCATGGTAGTAAACAGACGAGGGAAATCAGGGCGACCAAAGTTTGTTCGTGATTGTAGTTCTGTGAGAGGATCCATCTGAGCACCGACACTGTTGAGTACGATGTTTTGAGCAGTGTCAATATCCAGCTTCTGTGTGAGATAGGTGTGAATCTTGAGGAACTCGACGCCCGAGCTTCCAGGCATGCGTGCCGCTTCGTTGGATTGCTCTTCTAGAGAGGACAGGAGAGTCTGGAACCACTCAAACGAGCCAGTGTCCTTGCACACCCAGATAAACTCGACACGGCGAAGTCGGCGGGGAGGGTTGGGTGAGTTGCGGAGATGCCAGATGTTCTTGAGGATAGAGGCCCAAGGAGTCACACCAATACCGGTACCGATAAGCACAGCGATTTCGTTCTCGAATACATCTTCGGCCGGGGCACCGTAAGGGCCGTCGATTCGGAGAGCCGGCATCTGATCACCGTTCTGAAGGGCAACTTCGTACATACCCATGGGGTCAACATCGTCGTAGAGCTTGGCCTGGGCAGCACCAGCACCGAGAGCATCACCCAACTCCCGGGTGAAGTCACCAACCTGGCGAACGTGGACAGACACATAAGGGTCAAAGGGGCACGAAGTGATGGTAAAAGGGTGCCACTGGTACTTGGAAAGCCCAGGCACCTGGAGGAACAGCCACTGACCAGCCTTGTACTTGAAAGAAGGCTTGTTGAACTGGATCTCAACCACGTCATAAGGATGGCGGACAACTCGGGTGATCTTGGTCTCACGTCGAGCACGAACTTCACGCCAGAGACGCTCGAGAAGGTAGAAACCACCAGTCCATAGCTCCCATCGCCATCCAAGATAACCAATGCAGTGCTCCCAGAACTGGTCACCCGCGAATGGTGAGATAGCCTCAGGTGTGTCACGCACAAAACATCCAACGGTGTGGGTGTAAAGACCGAGGAAGAACGGAATGAAGAGATGGTGAGTGTACCAGAACGTCTCGAATGACTGCTGACGGATGCGAGCGTGAGCAGTCGTATACATCAGCAGCATGCAGAGAAGCATGACATGACCAGTGATTCCACCAGGCTGAGCATAATGAATCTGAAGAGCCAAGACAGGTCGGATCTGAGTCAACTCGACGTTATAGAAGTTGACGTAGTGAGCGCCTGTGTGAAGGCAAGTGAAGAGGAGGATGGAGTAGGCGAGTTGGCGATGCATCCAGAGATTCTCGTCGAGTGGAATGAATCGAATCTTGGGTCGAACCCAACGCATGATGGTTCGGCATACGGGGAGCAGGATAAGCATGCAGTCGACGCTGAGAACTAGACCAGCACCTCGTGAGATCCATACTGAGAATTTGAGTGTGTTGAGACCTGCCAGTCTGGCATCTGCGGCTTGCTTCCACCTATATCAGTCAGTTATGAACCATGAGTTTGTGCATGATTATTCTCTCAACTTACCAACCATAGGCAAAAATACCCCAGTGAAACCCCCAGAAAAGAAAGTGGAAGAAGAGTTTACTAGCGGTAAACTGCTTCTTTATTAATTCGAGGAATCCGATATGCGAACCCATCGTTGCGGTATGTGTTGAGTGTTAATTAAGTAAAGTCAAGGTCGGCCGGCGACAGGACTAAAGAGGATCTCCCCTCGATAAAGAGAGAGTGATATCGAGTAAATTACCCAAAAACCCTTAAATAGTAAAACAGAATAAGAGACTGATCCAGCAGCGAGAGGAAGCGAAAGTCGTGGCTGAGAAGCCCGGGGGTTGAGAGAATGTTGGCGAGGACGCTGAGTAACAATAGCGACCCGAGAAAAGAAAGATGAAGAAGGTTCGGATGAGATCGTAGGAAGGACCAGGTTCATAAAGTGAAAAAATCGACAGTCGACAGGTTTGGCCAAGAATATCAAGGCTATAGTAGGAACCGTGATCTGAAATCTGATGCGCCAGGGATCTGTTTAAACGGGTACAAGGAGGTATCGAGTTGCCAGATCGGGTACGGAAGATGTGGATGCCGAGATGCTACGAATTCACCAGCGGAAGTTGAAACGTCACAGAGGAGAATCGTAGCGGGTTTCGTGGTTGGGATGAGACAATTGGCGTCGGGGGAGACTCTTTTGGTTAGAGATGGGAGTGTTTCGCGGGGGGCGCCAAGGCTGAGACCGGGGCTGTTTCTTATTGTTACTGCGACGGTCGATATAGCGTCTGAATAAGGAGGTTAAACGTCGCAGAAGAGGTTCAAATATTTCAATCAATGGAAGATTCGACGAATGCAGGAAACAGGGGACTTTACTGCTTTTACTCCAGATCTGTTACCTCCACCACAGCGTGCTAGGTGGTTAAACAACTCACTACCATCATCATCATGGGGACAATATTGATCCCCCGGCGCCTATTAGAGGCCTGGGCATTCTGTTCTATAGCGTCTGACTGGCCGATTAAATTAGGAACACTGCACCTAATGCCACCAACGGTCCCCAGGACCAGTCACCGACACGAGGACCCTGAAGAGGCGCCTGGGGTTCGAGTCTCTGGGCGCTTAAAGTCTCAAGATGCAGCCAACGACAGGCTCCTCCCAACCACTTGTAATGCACTGTGACGGCGCTAGTTTGGGACTAATCGATCCAAGTGCGCATTCTTATTCTTGGCCCTTGTCTCGCACGATTGTTTCTGATCCTCTACTCACTATGACGACCGAGTTTTCGGGAATCAGCAGGTTTAGTAGTTGGTTGATTGATCGCGGCTCACACAAGGTGACACTATGTACCAACCAACAGAGTTTCTAACCAACCACCATTCGATTAACGAATGCACGGCTAGATCTCGTCACGGTTCTCAGCTGTATCAATCCCCAAGAAATCGAACGACTGTCATCTGATAACCTCTACTCGTCCATAATGCACATCTCCTCAGGTTCGTCGGATGGGTTTCGAAATAAAAAGCCAAGATTTCTGCTATTGTCGCAGATTGCTTAGCGGGTGCACTAAGCAGACCGCTCATCACTTTCACATCGCACAAGACTTGGTTGTCACTCCAACCGCCATCACAAAATCATTTGCTATAACCTCTTGAAGAACGAGAGATCTTTTGATCGTGCGACAGTTTTGTTGAGCAATTGCCTTGTTGGTGTTAGTAGCACCGATTAGGTGTATCGAAGCAGAAACACTCACGATTTAGACTACTGTCATCTTCAAACATCTCCATTGCTTAGGGGTTAATAATCACTAATGCCCGATTTGTCTACTTCCAAAACACCAAACTCCGATATAGTGCGACATGGCTGCCTTTGTCATCCTCTGTCCCGGAGCACTCAGGCCGACGCCGTATCCGTGCCGGACAAGTGGGGCCGATGCCACGAGAGAACCAAGAATAATACCTGCCAGCAACCAACCTTCTATAATCCGGTAATAAGGCCAAACTAATGCCCGAATGACAGCCACAGGCACATGCGTCTAGTCATAGTGGCCCCAAAGCTGAATCGTCAGTGTGAATTCATCACTGCAACGGACGGAGCATCATGTCCTTTTTATGTCTTGCGTGGTGCTGTCGCAGACCAAAACCTGCTTTTAAGGCATGATGAAACTCGTAGAATTGACCAACACGGCTCAAGATAAACATCGAGTGCTATATCGGTAGCCCTATTCCATTCAATGACAAGATTTTGGCCTTTGGCGATCTCGATACCCCACCAATTACCAGGGCAAGCTTGGTTCAAGCTCCCCGCAAGCTGACGTGTTGGTGTGATGCCAAGAGACCAACAGTACGAGTCCTGTTTCTTTGCGAATGTGAGGGCAAGCCAAAGAAGGAACAGATTGATTAGAGACACAAACCAATCGAGGCAGAATTAGCGGCCGGTGAATGCGTTCGGGCATAAACAGGACACACGCACGCGACACAATCGACAGCAAATGCACTAACTTCAGCTAACGCCTCTTAGGCTGTGGCACAGTTTCTCGACGTTTAGCTACCTAGCCTCTAAAATCCGCATTCTACCTCTGAGCGTCAACATCGTCAAGCCTAAGTTAAGCCAAGCTAAGATTTTCACTACCAAGCATTGACTCGCCAAGCTTCAAAGTAACCACAAATACTTGCTTGAGCGATCGTGGATCTATTTATTTTTATTCTTATGTATACAAATGGTTCCGCCAAGAAGGAAAGCTCGGCATATCATCCATGCCCGCTAGCTTATGACGTAGTAACTTACCATCTTCCATCGCACCTTCCTTCAACTTGACAGTAACCTTTGAACTACCTGCCTGCCTTAGTTCTTGTCATTCTTCTCCTTGTTCCATAATTTTCTTGGTCTTTTCAACTTCTCCGTGAAACTTATCAACGAAGCTTTTTCTCTTGCATCTCCAAGACTCTTCACGATCGCCGCGTCCTTGCCAATTGTATATCACCAATCTGTCACTACCTTAAAAGACTGCTCCAAGCTTACCCGCGACCCGCCATGTCTGGAAGAGACGACGCGGAGGAGCACCGTCGCTATACAGCTCCATATAGCGCCAGACATCCTATTCCAACCATCTCCAAATATCGAGAAGAGAGAGCTGCACGGCAAGATGCCGCAGTTGGAAAACCTGACCCGTCAGAGGCTGCGGGCTCAAATGATTATCAATTTCAGCAAAAGTCTAGAGAAGATGCTGGGCCCCACCTAGAGTCAGTCGAGGATGACAAGGATGATAATAGTAAAAAGGACGACAGTGAAGTGAAAGGCAATGGGGAAGAAATGACAGACACTTCACAAGTTGGTCCCCAATCATCGGATCCTAAACAACGGAGGAAAGAAATCAAGAAGAGCAAGAGAGAAAGAGCCGAGCGAGAAGTTACGGACCCCGTCACTCATCTCCCTGTCACTATACACGATTTCACAGACGAAGCTCTTAAAGAGATAGACACTAATGAACCTCCCTTTGGCACAACACAACGCACAGCGACAGGGTCAGAAAACAAGAACAAGACACACGAGCAGCTTCGCGATGAGCATCGAGATATTCAACAAAGTCACGATGCCATGGGTGAGTTATTTCCACCACCCGATTTCGATGCTCTGCGCCTTGAGCTTTCATCCATTAGCAAGCGTGGTGTCACATTCGGGCTTGCTGGCGTGGCTACTATCGTGGCCAGCGCATTTTCTATCGAAAGGCTCGTCCGAGAGGGTATTCTCCAGGGAGGCAAAACTAAATCCTCATTATTCGTTGGCGCTTCACTCTGGTTGATCCTAACCGCAGCCACTGTGGGAGCTGTATGGTTTCTTGTGGTATCAGTTCGAGAATGGATGTCCAAAAAAGTCAACAATATTTTTGAAGATGAGGTCTGGGATGCTCATCGACGAGGCGTTGTAAAGGCATCTAAGAAGAACGATACTGAGACCACGGTCTGGCTCAACTCTCTGATCGGTTCTGTTTGGCCCCTGATCAACCCCGATCTATTTGCCAGTCTTGCAGACACCCTGGAGGATGTCATGCAAGCTTCGCTTCCCAGGCTGATTCGAATGGTCAGTGTGGAGGATATCGGCCAGGGAAGTGAGTCTCTGCGGATTCTTGGAATAAGATGGCTGCCTACTGGAGCCGCAGCTCGGGCAGTCGATGAAGAAGGACAGCTCATGACCAGGGAACAAAGTGAGAATGATACCGAGGAGAAGGACGGCGAGAATAGTGACAGCAGTGCCACGATCCAGGACGGAATGGAGGCCGAAGAAGGAGACTTTATCAACCTCGAGGTTGCATTTGCCTACCGCACTCGATCTTCGTCCAAGTCTCTCAAGGAGAGAACCAAAGATATGCATCTATACCTCGCATTTTATCTACCTGGAAACCTCAAAATTCCTGTCTGGGTCGATCTTCAAGGTATGATTGGTACCATGCGCATGCGCCTCCAGCTTACTCCAGATCCTCCCTTCTTCTCTCTTTGCACACTCACCTTCCTTGGACAGCCAAAGGTTAATCTGAGCTGCGTGCCCTTGAGTAAACATGCCATCAATATCATGGACGTGCCATTCATCAGCAACTTCGTTCAGTCCGCCGTTGATGCCGCCATGGCTGAATACGTTGCCCCCAAGAGCCTTACCCTGGACTTGAAGGACATGCTTGCTGGTGATGATTTCAAGAAGGATACCAACGCTGTTGGTGTTCTGGTCGTCAACATCAAGCGCGGCTACGACTTCAAGATGGGTGATTCCGGTATTCCACTTATCAAAGAAGGAAGCTCAGACGGGTACGTCTCGGTCGGCTGGGCCAAATTTGGTAAGGTGATGTGGACTACACGAGTACTGGAGAACGAGATGGAGCCTGTTTGGGATGAAACCTGTTTTGTTCTCGTGACACCACAGGAGCTTAACATCGACGAGCGACTTCGTGTTCAGCTGTGGGACTCCGATAGGTTGACGGCGGACGACGACCTCGGCCGAATTGAAGTTCCCATCAAGGAACTGATGAAGGACGATAAGTCTAATGGAAAAATGTCACATCGAGAAGATGGCTTCAGGGCCCTGAAATCAGGTGATGGTATGCCCGGAAAGCTGGAGTGGAGCGTTGGATACTTCTCCAAGACCAGAATCCAGCAGTGTCAGTTTGAGAAGCAGACTCATGACCCTGAAATCCGTACTATGGATCAGCTTAAGGAGAAGGTCAGAGAGTCAAGTGAGCGTAAGCTTCGCGAGACCATGTTCAAGGAAGGCAAGAAGGAGCGAGACGCCAGCGAACTTGAGCAACAGACAGCTCAGGAGCTCAAGGCTGAGCAGGATGCCATGATCATCTCTGCGCCTCCGCCCGACGGCTACCCTAGTGGTCTATTCAGCATCCAAGTGCATAACATCACTGGTCTTGAGCTGGAGCGACTCAACAAGCGCAAGGCCGAAAACGACGCTGAGGCGACCGACGAAGAGGACTCAGGTGATGGTCTGCCAAGTGCATACTGTACTATCATCCTTAATCACCGAAAGACATTTAAGACAAGAACAAAACCTCAAAACTCGAAACCGTTCTACAACGCTGGCTGCGAGAGATTCATCCGCGACTGGCGTGAAGCAGAAGTCTTTGTCACGGTCCGTGATGCTCGACTGAAGGAGGATGACCCCTTGCTTGGCATCATCCACCTGCCTCTCGGAGAAGTATTCCGTGAACGTTCGCAAGTCATGGGATTTTGGCCCCTGACAGGAGGCATTGGCTATGGACGAGTCCGTATCTCAATGGTCTTCCGAAGTGTTCAACTCCAAGCACCACGAAATCTCCTAGGATGGCAGTACGGCACAATCGAGGTTCAGCCCACTGTCACCGTGGTAGACTGTCCCAAGGAACTTCGCTCATCGAAGCTCAAGTTCCGGACCAGTATCAGTAGTGCAAAGATGTATACTGAGGATGGTGACGATCAAGGAACAGTGACTTGGAAATCGAAACGAGGTAGATCGCTTGCTCTAGCGGTTGCTAAGAGATACAGCAGTTGTATGTCAATCGCTTTCCGGGAGAAGGGATTCTTTGGAGACGATACGGCTGCATTTGCTGTCCTTTGGCTTAAAGATATTGCCGACGAAGAAGAAACAGACTTGGAACTACCCATTTGGAAAGGCGATTTCCAGCGTGCTACAGCTTGCTGTTTAGAGGAGTGCGGTGAACGTTTGGGCACTATCAAACTCAAGCTCACATTCTGGTCCGGTTTGGTAAGCATTCTACTAGCACATGTGAAAGTATCTGGCAGGCCTTATCCAGTTGCTAACGTCCTTTCAGGGAAGTGCCCATTCTCGATGGGCGAGTCGAGACGAACATCTTCAAAATGTGGTTGAAGTGATCGAAACTGCTCGCGACAATCTTGAAGTCGGCCAACAGGAAAGGGAAGCTGGTATTGTTGAGTCTGATGATTCTGATGACGAGTGCTCCGGCCAGCGTGCCCGCCGTGCAGGCTCTATAGGCAGCAACTCGGACTCCAGTTCCAGCTCCTCAGATACAGAAGACGAAGACAGCCAGGTTTCCAGTGTCCCAGATGGGAGCGCAGATCACAAACAGGGTCCTATAGACCAGCTCAGGGACTATCGCCGTCGAGACAAACGCCTGCATCGCCAACACCGGGGTCTAATGCAATGGAAGGTAAGCTCCTGATACCCTTGTATAAGTCGCACGTGGTTTTCAAATTTGTTTCTATTTCCTGCCCTCCCGCTTTTAGAGGGCGTGCCATAAGACTGGAACTAACAGATGGGCCTAGATCCCGCGAACGGCCAAGTGGATCAAGAATAAGATGTATCGAGTTGGGGACAAAGCCTCCGGTGTCTTTGAGCACTCATCTAAGCAGCCGGGAATCGAGACCGAGGTCTAGATCAAGCCACGATCTTAGAGCGTGACATGTCGAGATGCCCGAGAATCGTATCACGTATCAGGCATCAATCGATTATATGGTCTGTCAATTTCGTGCATAAATCTTGCGGCTTTCACGATAACCATTAAACAGTAATCTCTTTGGCATTATTAAAAGTTTGAACATAGCAAGCGAGGAGCAATTGTATGGGCCATTTGGACTGAATATGTTTCTTAGTCCAGCTTCAGATAATTGAAATAGTAAATATTAAGAGTCAAAAAAGGTATCATCGATCCATCCCATCATTCATCCATCGTTCCTGCTGTTTCGTACGTAACAAAAAACTTAACCCTTTCAACTATTTATCTTCCCAATCCATAATCCATAGATGCATATTCTTGCCAAAGCATGTACAGGCAATCAGAAAGGTCCTCCCGTTTTTCTTTTTTGCCAGAATGCTGGAACCCGTCCGTCTATAGATGATAAAAGACAAAGCACGCAACAGTAGGAGCACAAAATTCAGGGCATCTTGGCCTGAGTGTGTTCTCCACTGATTCTTCTGCTCGCTAAATGTGAGCGGTATCCCGTTCCAACGCCATTGCCACCGTGTGTAATGCAATCAATGCATACATGCTTTTGTTGCCAATGCTGTAGCCGAAAGAAGAGTGTAAAAATGAATCCGCGCTTGTCGGACAAGTGGTTCTGTATGTGATTGTGGGTATTGTTTCCCGCTGTGGGCGAGGGTAGATCGGCGATCGAGCAATAAGATGTTTCAATAGTTTCGGTCGCGATGAACCGATTGGTTGTTGGTTCCGGAGCCCGGCCGATAGTTTCATTGGTTTATCGACGTGTCGTCGACTGATTCTCGCTCTTCAACTTGTTGACATTCTCCTCGGTCAACGAATCTCCGGTCTGTAGTTCGTGGTACGAGTTCCTCCGGTAGCTTGACGATCCCCCTGCAGCGTCGATGAGTTTTGTTTCTTGTAGCCTGTTAGACCATTCAGTCTCTCCTTCTGGTCGTCGGACCTGCACTGCCAGCCCGGTAGAATCAAAGGGTGACGGCTCGTTCTGGTATCCATTGGTGGTCAACGGCCGAGGTGTGATGGGGCTGCCATTGATCTCCTCAGATGTCTGCGGCATGTCGTTGTCGTCAATGCCAATGTTCGGAATATCAGCATTGTCGCAGTGCTCGCTCATCTCTGAACAGTCTGAAGCAGTAGGGTCTGGTGTCGCCGATGTCCGACGTCGGGAGTGACACCATCGTAAAAGCATCTTCTCCAAGATAACACCCCGAACTGGCTTGGCGAGATAATCATCCATCCCAGCTTTGGTGCATTTTTCACGATCACCCTGGATAGCCGATGCCGTCATGGCCACAATCGGCACATCTTGGACCAAAGGCTTGTAAGGCATGTGATGTCTTAGAAGATGAGTGCACTTGTAGCCATCAATGATGGGCATCTGTACGTCCATGAGAATGATATCTGGCTTCTGTTTGATACCTTTTTGAACACTGGCGAGGTATTCCAGGGCTTCCTTGCCGTTCCAGGCAGCCGTCACTTGGAAACCGAGTTTGCCAATGGTTTTCGTAGCAATCTTCTGGTTGATAGGACTTGGACTGGTCAGCTTGATAGTGTCTTCCGGAGTCATCTTGATACATACTTATCTTCCACCACCAGAACGTGGATCTTAGCTCTTTCTGATGCTGGTAGTTCTTGGTCTGGGCTTGATGTTGATGATATGCCGAAGCGAGTCCGACGTGATCCCGCATTGTTGGCCTGTATTCCGTCGAAGGGCGGGGGAGTGCCAACAATCTGGTCGTATTCTGAACTGTTGCAAGACAAGCTAAGTTCAGACTGCAGCCGGTCAGGGATGGCACCAGCATTAGCGAGGCCAGCCTCAGCCGGGCCGCTTGGTTTATTGAAAGGGATCCAGAAGGTTGCTCGAGTTCCAACGCCAACATTCGATTCGAGCGAGATACGGCCGTGCATGAGGTCAAGTAAGTTCTTGCAGATGGTCAAGCCCAGTCCAGTACCACCAAATCGTCGGGCGGTTGAGGCATCGCCTTGGCTAAAAGGTTGGAAAAGCTTCTTGCGGACATCGTCCTGAATTCCAATGCCCGAATCTTCAACCGTAAATCGAACCTCGATAGACTCTGAGGTCTCTTTCTCTGCCGTGACTGAAAACCTGACGTATCCTTGATTGGTGAATTTAATGCTGTTGGTAAGAAGATTGGTCAGGATCTGTCGCACACGTCCAGGGTCACCAATGACCACCAAATCGTTTTCGATGCCATCTCCAATATCTGATTGAAAGTCAAGGTTCTTTCGCTCAACAGCAAACTGAAGCATTCTCCCCACTTCCTTGACGATATGGGACAAGGAGAATTGTACCTCTTCGATATCCAACCGCCCAGACTCCACCTTCGAGAAGTCTAGAATGTCATTGATAACGGTTAACAGAGATGTTGCCGAGCTCTGAATGTTTTCGACATATTCTTGTTGCTCTGCGTCCAACTGCATTCCGCTAAGTAATTCGGCCATCCCTAACACACCAGTGATGGGCGTTCGGATTTCGTGAGACATATTGGCGAGAAATTGACTCTTCAGTCTATTGGCCTCCTTGGCAGCTGCTTCATTCGCCATCGCCCTTCGCTTTTCTTTGGACTGCTTCTCCAGGGCTTCCTCGCGGACTCTCAGTTCGGTAACGTCCATGATTACGCCAATGACCCCTTCGATATACGTGTCGGTCGTGGCATCTCCTTCCTGTGACCTTTTGCCAAACATGGGAAGGAAACGAGTTCGGTACCAACGGTCGTCTACTTGAGGTTAGTAAAGCGTGTCGAGATCCAGTTTGGTGCCTATCCTTACCAATGCCGTGTTCCTTTACGTCTTCGGTAGCTTTTCCATCGAGCAGTAGCTCTATGGGTTCAAGGAATTCAGGACGTTCTCCATCTGCCAGTTGCGCTGTCAAGCGATTGAAAACAGTATACATGTTTTCTCCAATGAACCACCTCGTTCCATCATGGTTCTCCTCGTGAGTGTTGTTCCAGATCAATGCGCCTTCGAGCATTGTAACCCTTCGATTCGGGTCAACCGTGAAAATGGTGACATGAGAGTGGGCAATGACGCTAAGAAGTTGTTGCCGTGTGCGTTTCGCGCTCATCTTAGTTTGAATACTTTCGTGGACATCGGTACAGGTTCCTGTGAAACGGATGGTCAGACCCGAAACTTCAATTTAGTCGATCAAAACACATACCAAACCACTTCTCGACTTCCCCGGTTTCTTTATTACGCTGAGGCAGTGCCCGGCCGAGATACCAACGCCAGTTGCCATCTTTACTCTGGCACCGGTATTCCGTCACGTAACTATCGCCCGTATCAAGCGAGTGTTGCCATCTCCGGTTTGCTTCAGGAAGATCATCGGGGTGAAAAGCGTTCACCCATGACTTGCCAAGACTATTCTCTGGAGTGAGCCCGGTGTAAGTATAAAACCGAGTGTTCCAGAAGTCGACCATGCCTTCAGGTGTTGCCGTCCATACCAGTTGAGGCATTGTGTCGCAAATGAGCTTGAAACGCTCTTCATCCCGCTCTTTTATTTGTGTGATCTCTTCTGTCATAACAGTAACGTCCCGTCCAGTAACTACACCAGCGAGAAACTCGCCAGTGGAATCGTCCCGAATAGCCTCGCCAAGGACATCGTAAATCCGCTTATTTCTGTTTTCATCATACATGCCAACACGGAATCCACTAAAGGGCTTCTCCGTCTTGAGCAGCTTGCAAATAGGCATATCCTCAACCGCAAAGCGCTCCGAGAAGTCCTCAGTGTAAATGTGCCAATACCGCATGAGATCAAAGCCATTAAGACATGTATCGAGCGGGGCTTCTTTCTCAAAGAGTTTCCGAGCAGCCGTGTTGGGAAAAGTGACACTACCATCTTTCCACATTGCTAAAATGGGCATTTGGGTATTGTTGAGCAGTGCGTCTTTCATCAGCAGCATCTTTTGCAGAAGAGAAGGCGTACTTGAATGGGTTGCGACAGAAGGGGGGCCCATTGGTGGGAAAGGGCTGGATGACATGGTGACAATTCCTGGGCTGTGAAATGACGGTGAATTCGAATCTCGACTTGACGCAACCGAGGAAGGGTTTGAGTGGGCAATGGATTTGCGCTCGGCAGCCTCGAGGATGCTCGGTCTCGCAATGGGTCGTTTCGTGCTGTGAAGAGTGGATGATGGGGATTCCGTGCTGGTAAAGGTGAGTGTGAAGAACGTCTGATGATCTTCGAGTTCCCATATTGTAATAATCATCTTAGCATATACTTGACAATCCGACTCTTTAGGGTTATAGCGGCCATCAAACGCTGCCTTGGTGCCATTTTTGCGGGTGATAACAACTTCCACTATGGAGTCCTGTGTTTTACGCGCGGGTGGGCTTGGTGCCCTCTCGGGGAGAGGCATCGTGCTTGCGGTTGGCGTCTCATCGCCGCCAGACTGTGATGGTCGCCGTGGATCCCTTGCTGCAATTCGCACGCCCATTTCATCCACCTGAGAATCGAGGAAAGCGTCCCACGTTGCCCATACAGGCTGTCCATCCTGGAGGATATCAACACCGACTTGAGACAAGGTCTGGCCGCGAAGGCTTTCGATGGTCGGCACAGTATCCTCTTCATCCGAATCTTCCGTAATGAGTCCTAACATTCGGCCCATTGCTTCATTGGCCAAGACAACGGTCTTGAGATTATTAAGAACGAGGGTTGGTACCGGCAAGTACTGCATGGCAGAGAATGCAAGCTGGCCAGGAGATATACTAGGCATGGCTAGACGAAAAGGGCTTTGCGAGGGTGAGCGCGAAGCATCCCCCAAATCCCTGAGGAAACGTCCCCCGGCAAATGGTCGTGGGGTGGCATCATGGCCCTTGATATCATTCACTAAGTCGAAAGTGGCTCTCGGTCGCGCATTGTCAAGTGTGGTCGGAACAGGAGCATGGATTTGATTTTGATGTGATTCGGAGCAAGCCAAGGGAAAGCCGGTGTCGTGCACAGCTGCTGCGGGCCTAATAGCTCGAGTTTGGCTGTTCTCACGAGGTTGTTCGGGAGGGCTCATATCGGTGCTTCGTTATAAGTCATGGAGAGTGAACGCCGTTCCGTGCGAGTTGGGTATTAAACGATGGGCAAAGGATGAAGAGTCGAACGACAAAATCACAAGGGAGAGTAAATATTCAGAGTTGCAAGTTGTGAATGCACTGGTCGTAGGCGAAGGAAGCGATGGCCGGGGCGTCGGCGGTCTCGACCTTGAGACAAGGTCCAAAAGAAAGTAATCAGTGGAGTTGATCTACTTCGAATCGACAAGTGACCGGCGACGGGGAATTGGCATGGCGCAGAGAGGGAAAAGTGCCGTAAAGGTCAGGCAATCCGTGGCTCAAGTCTAGCTTGTCTTGGGACGGCGTCGACGGAGACGGGATTAGACTTTGAAGGGCGTGTTAAGACGGTTTACTCGTTTGGGCCAGGAACGGGAGGGAGGCTATTGTTGGGTGAGTTACGAGAAGTTGATATCTCTGTAAACAAGTGTGATATACCACCTTTTGGTGTGTCTGAACCGGGAAGCCAGTGGACGAACGAGACAGCTCAACTGAGATGGAAATGTGAATCGTAAAGCTGGAACAGAGATGACAGCTTTAGCAGGATGAGCTGGAAGCCCAGGCTTGAGGTGGAGAAGGCTGGGCTTCTACAACAAAAGTTAAGGTTGAATCAGATGTTGATGTAGGATAAGATACAGGCAGTGGAAGAGAAAATAAAACATTCAAGGTTTTTCTTGTGCAACAGCGTTGAAAGGAATAGGTATTGATTTTCACTCCGAGCCGCGAAGGAAAGAAGTCGACGCCCAAGGACAGGAAGGACCCTGAATTGACACACCTCCCGTCAGCTTCCTCGTGGTGCCGGGGTACGTGATAGGATAGGCAAGAGCTGGTACCACCACCAACACAATGAGCGAGCGAGCGAGCGGCGGACAAGCGGGCGGGGTCTCACGACCTTTAAAGTGGAGGGTTCTTACGAGGGTCTAACGCCCTGTTGGTAGTCGCTTAGGTCCCCTCTCAGCGCCTCGCAGAGGGTCTGGGGGGCAAGGCGTGCGGATTCTCTCCACTGAGAGGTGCTGTAGAGTGGGGCGGTTGAAGCCGGCTGCTCACCTAAGAGAGCGCCGCGGCGTTGTCCAGGGTCGGGATCGCCTCCACAGCCGGGCCCACTTCACCCTCCCTTGTTCTTGAAATGCCGATCGAGCATGAGAATGGCATGGCATGCATGGCTCCAGTCGCAAGCCCTGATTTCTGCGGTGAACAGTTCTTCAACGAAAGACCTTGTCTCGAAATGGGCACAGACTCGATCGCTGAAGATTCCTTGAGAACCTCGAAAACACAATGACATGCGATCCGATGCCGCAATATCAAAAATCGAATATCACTTCTAAGAGAGCCCAGAATCGTAAACTAGCTCCCTTTAGCTCTGGCGTGTTAGTACATAGAGCTCCTCCTGCTCACCAACATGGGAGACCCCGGCTAGTCTGTTGCATCTCGAGGTTAAGGAAGCACAGTACTGGACAGTACAACAAGTACAAGTCCAACTGAATACAAAGACCAACCCAGCCTTATGCAGAGACGAG